TCTCCCCCTAGCCCTCCGTCCCGACGACTCCATCGAGATAATTAGCTTGCGTTGATTGCAGATGATAAAGCTAATCTATAGAACGAGTTTTTTAATACGACCAGTCGACGCGATAAATACGCGTACGCGAGGTTAACTGATATCATTTTTGATCATCGTCCACTCACAATCTCCTTTGATACGCGTGATCGGTTTGACGAAATCGTGGTGATTTTCGAGTATTACGCGCGACGAGAGATCGACGAGAGATTGCGCGCGCCCCTACGTCTCTCTCCCTCTCTCCCTCTCTCCCTCTCTCTCTCTCTCTCTCTCTCTCTCTCTCTCTCTCTCTCTCTCTCTCTCGGGAAGAAAAGGCCATAAATTTCGTTATAAATATTTCGCGTTGGCCAAGTATAAAAATCGTGAATCGCTTAACGCATGTCGTCTCTGATATTTTATGCATGTGCTCCGGAATTTCTTCGTGCAAATAACGCACGTACGATTGCGTCACTTGACAGCAGGCAAATTTCATGCTAATAATTTTTTTCTCTTATTCAAAATGTCGCGATAGAAAAGCAGCATCGCGCATAATTAATGTGCCGGCGCGTCGCGTCGGTTTCGCTACGCGACGCGATTCTGACCGCGATTCCGAATTTCTTCGGTCGGACTGGAAAAGAGAAAAAAAGGAAAAAAACCTTTATTGGCAACCGAATAATTAGCTCTTCGCTACGATGAAATTTGCGTCTCTTATCGCGCGAGCCTATTTAATTTTGTCGTATACTTTCGATCGGTGACGATCTTTAAGAAGACTTGCAATAAGTAAAAGTTGAAATGAGAAAGTCAGAAAGAAAAATAGCAGAGAGAAAGAGAGAGAGGGAGGGAGGGAGGGAGGGAGGGAGGGAGGGAGGGAGGGGGAGAGGGAGGGAGGGGGAGAGGGAGGGAGAGAGAGAGAGAGAGAGAGAGAGCCGCGTTCTAGTGGAAAAGAAGCGCCTTTTTGCTTTTTACTTTTATCGTCTGACCAAAACTGTAAAAACATCTCGCATACACGACCTGACATCTTGCACTTTCGTCGTATTTACGTAAAGATAGTTACGAAATGGATACGAAACCGCCTGACTCGACGCGATAACATTTTTCGGAGCGCGTCTCTTCCCCTCTCTTTTTCATATTATAAATATTACATATTTATTATCGAGGCGAATGAGTCCAAATATATTTGCAACGACGCTTAATGAACGTCTATGAAAAATCATCCAAATCCGTATTCGAGCAGCGAAAATCTGTATACACGCGCGTTCGTAAAATCGGTGCGAACTAAAAATTAACGAACGAAGAAAGTGTCATCGACGGTAGCCGGTAAGTTTTGTCAGCTCGGGAACAAGCGGGCTGTGAAGTTTGTCTCATTATATCGTGCTATTAAAAGCAAACGGTCCATTTGTATAGCAGCATACGTGAATCATAAGATCCCGACTTGACGAGCGATCGAAGTGCGCGGAGTCGTTCGTTGTGACGATATCCGAGTCGTCTCGAAGATGAAGCCGCGTTTTCTCATACCGATATCTCACATAAATTATCACAATTTAATCTGTGCAATATAATATCTGCAATATAATATAAAGAGTGCAATGTAGTAATTAAAAGGATATAATGTATAATAATATAGCCAAGACACATGTCACTTGGAAATTGAAAATATTTGAATTAGTAATTGAAAAGATGTAATATATATAATAATATGATCAAGATATGTCACTTGGAAATATTTGCAAATTCTAATATTTTATGCGAGGGCAAACCGAAGAAATGCATCGGTCTTTTTTTTCAAAGTACAAAAAAATACAGATCGCGATTGTTATCAATTGTTCCTCTAACAGCAGAGTCCATTCTTTCTTATTATTTGGGTATACCCATCTTCTCCTCCGAACAGATAAGTAAATTGACGGGACGATCCAAAAACATCTGGCCTCTTCGAGGTTGAAAGATGGTCGAAGAAGGTAGCTCGTCTTTAGATGTCAAAATAATACGCGCCGCAAGTGACTCAGGAGGCACATGACGCAGCGAACAAGTGTTTAAATAGAAATAATGGCGACCCTGGCGATCGAACCGATAAAATTCAAACGGTCGAAGGATGAGCAAAGTATGGAAAACTATACGCTCTTGTAGCGAGCTAAAAAGCGAGCTAAAAAGGCGAAATGACTTTCTATAGTGTCGTCCTTACAACAAATTCAGCAAATATCAGCGCCAACTGAACTTTCTTTTCCGAAGGACCGGAAAAGACGCAAAGACGCTGCAGTAAAACATCAAAGTAAACGCAGAGATTAAATTTGTCAAATTACCGAATTATTAATTTATAAATATTAGCTATTGACGCCGAAGCTCACTGACCACTAAATATTCTTCAAGGAAAAATTCTTTTCTTCGGAATAACAAAGTGACGTGTAAGTAATTTAGATACCGAATAAAAATTTCAATAACACATAATTTTCTAATTAATTCGTCTGTATGATAAATTTCAAGTAAGCCGGAGCAACTAATGCCCGAAAAGCTTCGACTGATTAAAGACAAAGTTAATTAAACATATCGCTCAACCAAATTATTCACGTTGAATTGTGCAATAATAAGCGAAACCGACTTAAAATTTATAGAGATAACCGCATCTCCGCTTAAACGTTTTACATAAACATTTATGTAACGTTGTCGACGACTTAACCGGCGATTCGCCATTTCAAATGAGTAAGCAATATTCCGACAGAATATTTCACCCCCTCCCGTTCAACCAAACTCCTAGAGTTCACTTTCCTTTTTTCCTCCGTCATCATTCCTCCGTTTTTTGTCGATCGTTTTATTTTTAAAAATATATCTCGAAGATACAGAAGAGAGAGGAAGCAAAAGTACTTTCTAAATACAGTGGAATATCTCGAAATTTCCGAAAATGGGCTATATACTTTCCAGAAAATAATATATTTTCCGACAAACTATATGTTCGACTATATATTTCCTGGAGAATTCCGGAACACCCTGGACACTAATGGTCTCTCACGCTCCGAATGAATTAATATTAGGTAAATCGGAAAGTTCCGTCCGTTTAGCGCGACAAGTGGCTATAGCTAAAACTGTCGTTAATCTGTAATGTGTCTAAACGAAGTTTAATAGTTTGTCTTGACATCTGTCAATAACATTCAGTACATAAAAGTATACGTTTACATCAATAACATTGTTTTTCACTGCATCGAAAATGTCGAAATTTGAGCCAAATAAGCGTCATTTGCGCCAAGTGTTAGTTAATCTTTTGCTTCAATTGGAAGAAAACTGCAGCTGAAGCTCATCGAATGCTTGTAGAAGTTTATGATGATAATGCTCCTTCCGATAAAACATGCAGAGAATGTTTTCGACGCTTTAAAATTGGTGATTTTGATGCAGAGAACAAAGAGCTTTCTGGGCGGCCAAGAGTATTCGAAGACGAAGAATTGCAGGCATTGCTGGACGAAGACCCGTGTCAAACCCAAAAGCAACTTGCAGAAGCATTAAATTGTGCTCAATCTGTCATTTCCGATCGTTTGAAAGCCTTAGGAAAGGTTGACAAGGAAGACAAATGAGTCCCATATGAACTGAAGCCAAGAGACACCTAGTGTGAAAGGCGAAAAACCACCTGCGGAATTATGCTCGCTAGCCGACAAAAAAAGGGGTTTTCACATCGTGTCATCACTGGGGATGAAAAATAGATTTATTTTGACAATCCCAAACGTCGGAAAACTATTTGCGATCCCGGCCAAGCCTCAACATCGACACCAAAGCGGAATATCCACGGAAAGAAGGCAATGCTCTGTATTTGGTGGGATACAGAAGGGGTGCTGTGCCATGAGCTGTTGAAAAGTGGCCAAACAGTCACAGGGGATCTCCACAGAGAACAAATGATTCGTTTGGAGCCGAGCGTTGCACGAAAAACGACGAGAATATGAAACGAGACAGCATAAAGTGATTTTGCTTCATGACAACGCTCGGCCTCACGTCACAAAATCTGTGAAGGAAACGTTAGAAGCACTTCGCTGGGGAAGTGTTACCCCATGCGGCTTATTCACCAAACTGTGCCCCTTTCGACTACCTTACTTGTTTCGGTCGATGGCACACGCACTTGCTGAGGAATGCTTCAATTCTTATGAAAACGTCGAAAAATGGGTCTCTGACTGGAAAGCCTCCAAAGATGTCTCATTCTTTCCAAAAAGTCTCATTCTTTCGCCGCGGAATTCGCTTGCTGACCGGAAGATGGGAAAAAGTCATCGCTAACGATGGACAATACGTTGATTGATGTGACTTTTTCATTTTGTTTCTTAAATAAAGCCATACGTTTTGCTAGAAAACGGACGGAACTTTCCGATTGACCTAATAATACTTTGATAATGATCTAATAATTTTCTAGTTTAAAGGTACATATAACAGACGTCGGCGCGGCGCAACTCCCGTTCACCTGTACGTTCTTCTCACGCGCGTTACTTCAACACGTATTCGTCATACCGCCGCATATGCGGTGTGTCGGGGACGCTCTCGGGACGCTCTCGCGACAGACCTCGCGCGAGACACTCCGCCGCGTTCTTGCTCGAATTCGACCACTCGAAAATGTCAACCTTCGCGAGGCGGATGCAACAAGGCTGAATGCATGCACTGCGAGCCATCGCTGTACCAGCTAGTAGTACTTTACACACCGACGACGTTATCGCACGAGACTCGGGGCGACGTTATCACTCTGATATCCAACATATATACATCCCCCACAAGCGGACCCTGGCCTCCAGTAAGTCGCGGACCACCGGCCCAGTTGAGCGCTTTGGCGACACGCACTAGGTGTACACAACACCCACCGGTGCTTCTGTCACAGCGGTGGGTATCGCATCTCGTCAACCCGGCAAGATGCTCTCGGCCCCGTTCGACCGCGAAATCGACATCGCGCATCCGCGTCGTCGACTCGTCGTCTACCCTCGACTCGGTTAACGAGTAGAAAAAGAGAAAATGGAGACAAAACTCACTGTATTCCCGATGCCGGTACTTGGTAGCTGGCTTCACGTCGTCGTCGCTCCTCCTCCTCTTCATCCCGTGTAACCTGACTCCTCTCGCTCTGGTGACCCGCACACTCGCGTCCTGTTCACTCACTTCCTTCGTCGCGCGCCGTACGACACCCCTTCGGCCCGGAGACGATCAATTCTTCGCGGCGTCCGCGCTGTGAGAACGGTCACTTGTTGCGTTTATGCGCGAGAGAGCGCGGCTGCGATCGCGTTTGCGCCCCGGCGCAAATGAACCTGTTGCTTCCGCGGGGTGAGTCGCGCATGCGGGGCAGCCGGATCAATCGATGATGCACGCGGATCGACGACTAGACGAAAATTGAAGACTGCGGACTTTGCTGGTTATACGAGAACCCGCATTAGCTGCTGCTCTATGTTCGGGAGCGAGGTCCGTGTATATTATGTACATAGAGGACATACGAAGTTTATGGAGCGCGCGCGCGCGCGCGCGAGAGAGAGAGAGAGAGAGAAAGAAAGAGAGAGAGAGAGAGAGAGAGAGAGAGAGAGGAAGAAAGAATGCGTGAGAGAAGAGAGAGAGAGAGAGAGAGAGAGAGAGAGAGAGAGGGAAAAGGAGAGACGGAATGACAAAGAAAGAAATACGCGAGTCCGTTCAGCGCGAATGTAGGCAGGCAGTCGAGGACAGAGGAGAATGGAGGAGGATAAATAAAGGAGGGGAAGCGAGCAGAGCAAGACGGGAGAACCGCGAGAGACAGAAAGAGCCAGGGGGAGAGGGAAAATGATAGACGGAGGAAGGGAAGGTTCGTGCCCCCTGGATCGGGGAAGCGGTAGTGGGGCCTCTGTGCGAATCATACCGGGGGAACGAATGAGGGGGCAAAGTCACCGCACGCGGTGTTTTATCATCGTCATGCTTCTATACTACCTTCTACAGCCATCTGTAGCAGCGCGAGCGCGCTTGCGCGCGACGGGTATTTTCACAACGCGCGCCGCGCGATTTCGTTATCGGCGCGCGCGAGGGGGGGCCAGCTAAACCGACGAACCCCGTGCTCCTTCTTCCTCCTATCCCGAGCCGACGAGGCGGTTTTCGCGGTTGCGGTCCGCGCGCGCGGCACCGAGCATCGCTTGTGCGCAAGACTGTGTCTGGATGGATTTGCGTAATTCTGTGAAACGTGTGTGTGTGTGTGTGTGTGGTGTGCATGTATGTATGTGTGCATGTGTGCCCGAGACCCTAAGGATTTGCGATTCTCAACAAGATCTTTTTCTAAAAATCACAAAACAAAGTTAAAGGATAAATTCTAGACAGATTAGACTGAGAGGCTACACTTATTTCTTTTTCCAAGCCCTTGTACTAAATATTATGATAACACTGAAAAAAGAAAGAAAAAAGGAAAAGGGCAAAAGAGAAACAAGATCTCTCAGGCGGCTTTAAGATATTCAGGCCTATTGACGTCTAACCAAACGTTTCATCTTATTCTATGCTGTGTGACTCGCTCGTTATAGTAGGTAAAAGCATTTTCCATAAAAGGACTCTTCCACTGTCTCCAGGAGGACTTAGAATTCTAAAGCAGCATGAAACTCTTTTTTTCCGACGTTGTCCAACTTCTTTTGTCTTGTTTCTTACAAATAAAGGGATCTGTTTCTTTTTCTCCTACTCTCTCCCTCTCTCTCTCTCTCTCTCTCTCTCTCTCTCTCTCTTTCTCTCTCTCTCTCTCTCTCTCTCTGTATGTGCGTACGTGTGCGTGTGTATATAAAAGATTGATTTTATACCAACGTGCCGTTGAATGCACGTGCCGTTGAATCGAAACTTATGTCGTAATACATAAAGGGAGGAAAGATTGTTTACAGGATAGGCCAAGTTGAATCATAACCAGGCGGCTCGGTGAATGCTCCGAGAGTGCCAGGTTACAGATACTCGGCTGTCAAGGACAAGTCTGTCCATTCATTCGCCCGTTCCTGCAATCGATCAATTATTCGTTCATTCATTTATCCGTTCGTTTGTTCGAGCCGTTTGCCGATTATGATTATTGTGATGCAACAACTATACCTCGGAAGAGAAAGGATCAATGCTCATCTCGTCGGCTCTCGAATGCGGAAATGTTCAAACCTGCGAATATTTCAAAATTGGAATAATCGATTAGGTAATATGTCGTACGTATTACCTAATTAATTCGCATAGACATTGTTGCAACGTTACGATATTGCATATATATATTTTTTATTACATACATATATATATATATAAATATATAATAATTAATTAATTAAATAATATATATTTATATATAATTATATAATAATTAATATTAATATTAATATATAATTATATAATTTATATATAATATTGCAATGTTGCAGCAATATTACAATTATTTCCGCTGTATAGGTTATTCATTTTTATCCGGCAGTAAGGATAGGTTATGTGGTTAAGAAATAAAGTTGAGTAGGTTGTATCGTGAATTCAGTAGCGAACATTTCATTTCTCATAGATATCTACGTCAACTCGTGTGCTCGATGTGCGATTTTACGTATTTGCGTTTTTATCATGTGCGAAGACAATATCCGTGCGCTGTAAGCATTCAAATCCATCTCGAACCATTGTAACCTGCGTCAAACACATACATATGCAGGTGTATTCAATTTTGATTGAATGTCACGTATGTATCTCGACTAAACTCACCCAGCAGCCGGCGTGAATTTCTCTCAAGGACATGAAACTTCAAACTTTGGATATATTTTGTATATCAACGAGAGGAACGATAAAATTTCACAAAATCGTCAACCATGTTTCCGTTGGTTTACTCTTGCGTAAGTTTCCTGTCTTCGATTGATTCAAACGATACTGTACTTCGAGATTTCGCTTTTTGAAAATGTATCGAATAGTATCGATCGATATGATCGATAACCTTCGATCGGAGAACATATCGATTCATTCGCGGACTCGAATGTTTATGGTCCACATACATTCGTATGTGCACACGTGTACTGTTTTTAACGATCCTCGTGCTAATTGCTTATTGTTTCCTCTGGGAAACGAACTTGCAACTGTGCGCTACAACTCCTCAGGAATTCAATCGCGAATAATGCGATGATTTTTAACGCTCAAAGCGTCTTTCTTCAATCGCTTGCCGCGTAAAAGTGTTTCTTTCCTTCTCTTATATATGTTCATAAAATTTGTTCAACAACATATAACTTTATTCCTTTACACTTACAATCGTGTACAATCGGGTAGAGTCGAATGTAATTGTATCGTGCTGCCGCAACTGTTTAAAGCTCAGTTTATGTCTTTCTACTCTATTATTTCTTTTAAATATAAAATTTTACATCGTTTCGTCGACACGTAACGTATGCATGTTTTCTTCCGCTGTGGGGCTTATTAATTGTTATTAGAGTGTCATGCGTGAGGAAAATAAAAGAATTTCATATTACCGCGTGCTTCAATTTCACGAATATGTCCCAAAGACGTTATATCTTCGTCCGTAACTCGTGCTAAATTATACATGTACCCTAAATGGTTAGCAATTATGTTGCCTTGCGTATGCGCATAAATAAGATGCACATCGTGGATATTTTTACAACGTTATTTACATTTTCCTTCTAAAAATATATCTGAATAAAAGCATCGGGAAAATAAGGGTAACAGGAATATTATTACTCGGTAACAGACTGTTATAAATGTCGAGTAAAAGGGAGAATTGTTTTACATAATTAATTTTAAATTAATTCTTCTTCTAAATCAAAAGACTTTAATCCACAGTCTTTGTTTCAACTTACTACGACAATTACAATTGTGCACACAGACATTTGATGTATAAAATCCTCGAGATCGTCGTGAAAGTGAAGTCGAATGTGCAGTTCCTTCGTGATAAATGAAAGTCTATTACCTCAATACTAAGAAAAGATATTGACAGTGTATTAAAAGCAAGAGAAATGCTCAGTCCTGGAATCCTGACTTTTAATTAAACCAACACGATCACTTCACACAATGTTGCATCTCCAACTTAGACGTTATGCCGTAATAATCATTCAGGTCGGAATAATTGATGTAGCATTCGGAAATTCTAATTACGTAATTGTGCTCGGCTACACAGCCAAACGACGCAGATTTCTCCCGAATGTCTATCACGCGAGTCACACGTACACGTATCGGTCTTAACCGATAATTAGGCCGCACCCCAATCTAAATTGTTGTTTGGAGTGATTGATCATACCGCTAAGGGCGAACGAGAATGGCAATGGTTGCAACTTCTTTTCAAGTACCGCTCCTATCACCCAATTCGTGTCTATACTACCTGTAACAATTTGTAAAATCAAATATTAGAATTCAACATTCGGAAGGATTTACATCGTACGTTCAGCTTGAGACAAACCGAATCATTTGGAATATATAACAAAAGTCTTGACATATCCTTACATTCTGTCAGAATAAACTCTCTCCAAGGCAGAAATAGAAATTCTCCAAGACCTTGAAAGTCAACTATCGCCACAATACAATTCATGGCGAATGAATATACATGCTTTTTCCATAATATTTACGAGTTAGAGCTTTCTATATATCCCTATTAATGAATACACACCTCTAAACACTAAATCTGCTGTTGGTAAATCAACTTGATAGGCAAGAGTCGCCGACGATTCTTGCATCCGTTCATTGATTTCTAACTCTACGCCCACCTGCAATTGTTGACTAGCTTTTTGATGGAAACACAGATGGCATGCGGATGGACCTGGAAAGGAGAATAATTATGCAGAGAAACTGGCAAGAGATACATCATCATATTAAGAATGGTATAAAAGTACACACTGATGCTCCCACTGATTGTTGAATTGCCATAAGTATATCTGCCAGCGAGAGATAATAACGCGACTTGTCCTCCTGGCATACCACCTCCACGTTGATAAGCAAGTTCACCGCCTAGTGCTAGTGAAGGAGTTATGGCATGGAGATAATGCAACACAAGAACACCTGAAAATACATTCGCAACAGTGAAAAGGGACAAAATTGAGATAGTTTAGATGCAGAATAATTTTTAATCTTTTTCTACAAGCTTACCAGTGCAATTTAAGACATCTGGATTGCCTAACGTAGCCGAACAGGTAAACTTGTCGCCCCGGTAATCGGTCGTCAATTGCACAGCAGTGTATTTACTTCTTTGTACTTGTGCTGCAAATTTACCCTTCAATCTTGTGCCAAGTTGATGAAGAATACTAGCATTGAGATTCCCAGTGGGATCAACATCACCCAGTAATACAGGATAAGCCTCTGAAGGTGATATCTGCTTTGTACCCACATAAGTTGCACCAAATCTGGCAATTTGGACAAATAAAAATGATGCAATAGACACCACGAGAATAACGCAATAAATTAAAATTGTGAAATATTTAATATTAGCAGCAAACGTCTTTTTGGATAATTTACCTGTAACCAGAATGCACTACAGAACTCATGTTAATAGTGTGCGAAATATGAAAGTGGTTGCTTAATCCTTTGTTAACTACCAACTTGGCACCCTCGAAATTCATAGGAAATATATCTGCAAGATAAGTATATACATTTAGTCAATCGCTGTGAGTTATAATATAGTCAGAAAGTACAACAACAAAGCAATACAAGTCCCACGGATCGTATTCTTTTGTGTTTGCATCATATATTTTTTCAGAACATCAATTTGATTATATTTTCCTCCCTTTTTCACTCCAGTATAGAAACATACAATACAGTAGACTATTGATACCCAAATAGAAATCATATATAAGTTATTTATCGCCAAACAAATAATCTATCAAAAAGTTTTCTGTGATGAAACAAAAGATACACAAAAATTGGCTCGCAGAGAGATATATGAAAAGGAGAGAAAAGGAAGAGAAAGAAAAGCATTTTTTTCAGTTCTATAGGACAGGATTCTCTAAAAATAAAATTGTACATACACACATAAAGTTTATATATCGAACTATTACAACAAACACATGAAAATATTTGCATTAAAGAGAAAATTAGATAATAAAATTAACAAAAAAACAATATAAGATTGATACCTAAACTTTACAATAAGGTTAAGAAGAAAGAAAGAGAAAAATTAGCGCGATAGTAACTATAGTACTATCACCATACAGTCGATTGTAAAATATATTAATCAGGACGTAACTAAAGAGAGAGAGATAAAGAAAATGATGGAGATGGAAAAAGAGTGCGGAAAGCATGTGACAAGCACTTTTGTGAATTACCTTTGCATTTTTTGTGCAGGTCCTCAATGGTTCCCGGGTTATCCACATCGGTTGATTTCTCCTGAGATTGATCTTGCTTTTCTAAACTCGGCGTTGCATCCTGACCCGGTGGTGGCAAATACGGCATCGGAGGTAGTACGGAAGCGGCTAATACGTTTCCCATTATTAACCAATTCGCCTTTGCTTGATCTGTCACGTATTGACTATCGATCCCCGTCCGGTTGCTCGATCAGATAATACGTGCTAAACGGTTGAATCTTTATTTATATGATAATAATGGTCAGGTGCGGTTTTCTTGTGGGTTACGCGAGTCGGCGTGTTGCACCATGGAGTTATAGAAAGTCCATGCGGAGATATCGTTGTGAACGTGCTATTGCTCGGCACTTTACAGGAATGCCAACGTGTAGAAAAGATATGAAATGCGCTGTACTAATTGAAGAGAAAAAGAAGGAAAAAAGCAAGTAAGATCATTTCAGATCGTTCTAATTGTGATTGTGAATACGCCACTCTCGCACAGGATGCAGCAATGAATTGTAAAAAACCTATATTTCGAAGGACATTGCGTTCGACATATTGTTAGCTCGAATCCCTGAAAATAACATATTTTTCATATGCAAATCTAAAAATAAAAGGAAGCCTGACTAGTTGTTAAGTTGTACTGTTTGAAAAGTTAAAAGCTTTTTCATTTGCTATTAAAACGTAATATTCGAAAATAAAAGTACAACTGACTGCATGTTGAGTTGCACTACTACCTCGATTTGTCGGTAAGAACGGTAGCGACTTATAGAGGAAACTTTGAAACTACTTTGCAACATGAGCAAAAGTAATGGATCTAATAATCTTGACTCGTAACAATTAACTCATTATTTACCTTTAAATACATAACAAGCCTAATTGTCTTCAGACTTGCGTGTTGATCCGCAAAAATGGTAAGTCTCGAATAATTTTTAGACAAGTTAATCTTTAAAATAACGAGTCTAACCTCTAGACCCATTATCTTGCTTTTAAAATACCGAGAGTTTAGCAACTTTTTAGACCCGTTATTACATTCAAATATACTGAGTCTAGTAACCTTTAGACCCATTAATTATATTTTAAAATTAACAGGATCTAGTAATCTTTAGACCCGTTAAATATTTTTAAAATAGTGGGTCTAATTATATTCGACACTCGTTACCGAATTGTAAAAATAACGGGTCTAAATGTCAGACCCTATATTTCTGTTTCATACTGCAATTTAGTTCCAAAGTCTCCGCTACGAGCCGCCACTTTCCTTAACGAAGAATTGAGATCGTAAACTAAATAATGGATTTGATGTTCTCTATTACTGTATCTTGAGAAATAAATAAACTTCAAGCTGTAACTTCGGCAAAAATAACGTTATCGAGACGGTCCGAAAAGTGATTTGTAGCTTAAAGTCTCTAGTTTTTCAGTAATATTAATACCATAATTTTGTCTCTCAGTTTTCTTGAGGATATAATCGAGTTAAACGAAAAGTTCAATTTCCAACTTCACCTACCAATGGAATTTTAAATCAAAAAGAAATTTATATCAAGGATATAATAAATACTTTTAAAAAATACTTTTGACATTTAATTCATTACTTAACAAAATTCGTACTACCATTCATTCCTTATCAACGGTCAAAACTAAAATTTCACTTTTATTCCAACGTTAAATAACTCTGTGAAAAAAGATCACATCGCAATCTGCCAATATGCAAATTAAAGGGGAAGTTCGTACATTTAAACCGTCTAAACTCCATATGTATGCAATGTTTTCTTTACGTTATGTATGTCGAGAAACTTCACAATAGAAATCATATCAAATGCATAAACGTTTTATAAAATTTGTTGGGTTATATTAAATAAAAAATTGCACATAAACAAGATTTATATCGTTTGAATTTTTCCCTTTTAATTTGCACATAGACATATTGTGATGTGATCTTTTTTCTTAATTTATTTAATGTCGAAATAAAGACTGTTCTTTTGGCTTCAACCATTTATAGATGTAATTAATGTACATTCGCTAACAAATTAACAGAAATCTGAAGTTCCCTCTTTAAAACGCTATTAGGTTAAGAAAATTAACTTTTCAATATAAAAATTCAATTGAAATATAAGGCAAATAATCCACCATTTGTCATGTATATAATATATCTTGATGAAACAACAGCACACAAGTTTGTGACTATAATATACTTAAAACCTAAAGACCTCCAGCTGTAAAGTGCTTCTCAAATCATCTTGATATCATTATCTCTCCCAAAATTACAGGCTGTTGAATTTTGTCTACTTTTTATGATCACGAAGAAGCGGATCTCAAGAAAAGTTAAAATGTCAGTTTTCTTGATCATGAAAAACGTGAGAAATTTCAACAGCAACATAATATATTTTTTGGGGGGAAATTACGATAATCACAGACGATCCGTAAAGCACATAATAGTTTGAAGTCTCTCCACGTACAACAATAACAATAAAATCATAAAACGTCGCCCTCGCTTTTCATTACAACAAATAAACGAAATGAAATGAAAAATATTAAATTAAACGAGAAATGATAATCAGTCAACTCTGAAACTCATCTCTCTATTGAGTTTGCTCCATCCTGTCTGAACCCTCGCGCTCGTCGCACTTATTATTATAATTATTTCAAAATCTTCATACACCGAGCTATGCGCGCACAAAGGCGCAAAGAGCCAGGACCGCGCGCGCGTCCTGCAATGCACAGACGCGGCGAGGGGTAGGAGTGCAGCCAAGGTGGAAAGGTGGATCGCAGGCGAGAGGTGACAGGCGGAGGAGGACGAGAGGGATCGCGGGGGGAACAGGAGGAGGATCGAGAGTCCATCAGCCTAAAGAGCGGCTATCGTGCCCGGCTAAGGGCTATTCCATGTTAGCCGCTCTCGGCGGGCTCCTTTTTTTCCACCTCTCGATTCCCCTCCAGGACTTTTTATACCGTGGCGCAAACGTAGCGCCGCCCTCGAGGGCTCCCTTCCCCGTGGTCGGTTGATTCCGACGCGAAGCGCCTCGGATCCGCGGGCCGCGACCTGTCCTTCTTCCACCGAAGGATTCTCTCCCCCTTCGTCGCATCCCCGCCCTCTCTCTCTCTCTCTCTCGTTCTTTCTCTCCTCTCTCGGTCTCTTGCCGCCCCTCGATTTTCGTGGTGCGTAATTTATCGTTTTTCGTGGTTCCGCCGCGCGCCACGCAATGTCGAGCTTCCACGAAGCTCGCCGGGGGATGCAGATTTATCGTCGGCAGCGATTCGCGCGAGAGCGGAGAAAGATGTCCCTCCGCGGCCCTAGGATGGGCCTCGATAAAGTCGCGATCGAGCGAATTACGAGCTATCCGCTCCCTACTTTTTCCCTTTTCGCAATCTTGATTTACACACGGAAACACCACGGTGACGAGCGCGTCGAAGACATCGTCCAGGAATAATGATATCGGGAATAGAAACGCAATGCTCGTCGCGCAAGCGAACCAACGACGCTGTAAATCCTGCTGCGTAAGATTCTTTTGCGAGAGAGAGAGAGAGAGAGAGAGAGAGAGAGAGAGAGAGAGAGAGAGAGAGAGAGAGAGAGAGAGAGAGAGAGAGAGAGAGAATTACCGCGGTCGACGCGCGTTTTCTTAGGCCCTAAATTTCACGTCGAAGAAACTGCTACTTTCTTCGTGCTGTTTTCTTTCTTTCTCTTTCTTGCTGCACAAATACTCACGCACAACGTTGCGGGTCGCTTCGCGACGTAAAAGCTCCGTGATATACCGGCGGTCGGAGAAAAATATGAAAAAATGATTATCAGGGTGGTAAAGGCGAGATTATACACGCGCGCTCGCTTGATGGCGAATGCAGTGAACGAAAACGAATTTATTAGGAATAAATCCCGGTTACGTGCACAATGAAGCGGCAGTGCATCCGGCGAGAACGCGAGTCGTACGACCGGTAAAGCGAGAGAAATCGAATTGTAATAAAAAAGAAAAGAAAGGAAAGGGAAGAAAAGAATCGCCGGTGATTGTCGCAGACATACTTTTCGACGATGTCTTGAGACGCGAAGATAACGAAGCGCAGGTGCAGCTTTTATTAGAAGACGACGCGCGCGATTATCTCACTTTAACGCGCCGCTCGCAAGGTTCGCAAGGATTCTGAGCCGAAACTTTGCATTTGCAACAACCTTGAAATTCCTTGCTGGATCTGACCGATAGAATCTCGAGATTCAAATACTATGGGCTACTATGGATTCTTCCTTAATACTGCGAGTGCTCATTTGCTGCCGCCCCTCCTTCGTAATACAAATCAGAGAAAGAAATTATTAACTCGAGAATTATAAAATAGGAAGAAAGGAAGGAAGATAAAGGGAACTTTTTTTTCTCTTCTTTTCTCTCTTATTTTTTTCTCTTTCCTCTTTTCCTTTCTTTCTTTCTTCGTTCCTTTTCCTTCCTTTTCTTATTTTACTTTTTCCCCTATTTATTGTATGAGAATCCTTTTACTCGTGATACTATTGTCTCAATTGCTGCCCACCAAAGGGATCAGACCAGTATATTATTAATAAATATTAAAATATTTTTGCCTTTCTTGAGATTCTGCACGTACGTTGATTTTATCCTCATTTTAATTAACGAGATCACAGTAAATTAAATCATTCTGGGACATGTCTTTTTTCAAGTTCCATGAAGAAGACGGCAGTTAATATACGTATATCGTACACCGGAAATTTCCAATTGAGGACTCTCCCCCTCTCTCCCTCTTGTCCCTTCGCGAGCACGAAAATTATGTCGATTTTTGGTCGACGAGAATTAATCGCGCGTCCGTGCTTTGTTTGTTTGCTGCGAGATTCACGCGCGAGGAATGCGAGTGCATTTAAGCGATGCAAGTGTGTCAATCGCGCCGATCCGCGCGAATTCATGGAACACCTTCGTGCGGCGCGAGAGATGCTCCGTGAATCTGCAAGGAGAAGAAAAGAAAGTGAAGAGAGGAGAAAAAGATAATAGCCGAGTTCTACGGTAGCTCTCCCCCCGTTGGCAAATGCATCGCATACTGCGTGTGCACAGAGCGAGGACATTTGAATCGTCCCGGGATCGTTCTCCGGCTTATCTTGCCGATTCCACCGTATCTATCATCGCTTGCATTTACTTGTCGGACGAATTGCGCGACTGGCGATTACCCTCCCGGTAATCTCCGCGGCCGATGCGTGCGTATATTGCGCGTATCGGATCTCTCGAGCACTCACACCCGTGTGCGACGGATGCACGCGGTCGGAACTTTCTACGAGAGTTCGCGAGTTCCATAACTTGATTCACGTTACACACGCGGAAGAGACGCGCGTTCTCTCCTCGCAGCCGAAGAACCCTCCTCGTCCTTTGCACGTTAGATTACCGAGAGAAGAGAGTGCATCTTCGGTATTTCTCCGAATGGAATTCTCGTCGCGCGTGAGGATTCACTCGAGGCGACGGGGTGACCATTTCCTCCACGCGGGCTTGCGAGAGTGGCGTGAGAGAATAGCAAGAGA